AAGAGACTGGTGCTGTGATACTCATCTATGCTCTGTGTTTCCACCTTTATCACTGCGACCCCTCCAGCACCATGCTGGTGCAGAGTCTGGATGACGGGTTCACCTGGAGCGCCCCACGAAACCTCTCCGTTGAGTTGGGGGTGAAGAGCTTTGCTCCAGGGCCTGGCTTCGGCATACAGGTGTGGTTAGAGCTCTTTACTTTCTGTTCCTCCTTCAGGAGAAAACTAAAGCATGCTTTTATGACTTCCTGTTGTTTATGATGCTGTTATGACTTCTCGGGTTGAATAAAACTACATTTTATCGTCTGCGTGGTTAAGCATTGGTTTATAAATGAGAACAAAAAAGCTGACATGGTCTTTTTGCAGCTTCAGGAGCAGTTTATATGCTTTTAGTCCATCATATGCCTTTGTTCACAGAAACGGTATGCTCCCAATGTGGGCCGTCTGGTGGTGTGTGGCCACGGATCCATCGCTGGTGACGGGGTCTTCTGCATCCTGAGTGATGATCATGGTGAATCCTGGCGATATGGAGCTGCTCTGAAGAGCATCCCTTACAACCAGCCTAAACAAGACCTGGACTTCAACCCAGATGAGTGTCAGGTAAAAGTAAACAACTCAATACACAGAATATATCTATGCTGAAGTGTTACTATATAGTAATTAGTGGGTTTTAAATCATTTTACTGTAGTACTGGATTCTTCTCTTTTTCAATAAAACATACAAACATTTTTTACAGTGTAGGCTTGATATTAAACAACTTGTGCTAATTGCCTATTTGACTTGACGTACTATCTCACATCCTTTTTGTCGGCTTTATCAGCCAGTGGAACTCGAGGACGGAAGTATAGTCATCAATGTGCGCAACCAGAACAAGTACCACTGCCGCTGTCGAATAATCGTGCGGAGTTTGGATGGAGGCGAGTCGCTGCCCGTGGAGGAACTGGTGTTTGACAAAACACTGATCGACCCCGTGGTCGCAGCCGGAGCCCTGCAGAAACAAGGAGTGATGTACTTCACCAACCCCTCCAGCACTCAGCACAGTGAGGAAGAGCAATTCCCAAAGCATTACTCAGAAATATCACAGTTAAAGCTCCATGGAAGATGAATTGTTGTTTTCTTGCACAGGGGTCAATCTAACTCTTCGCTGGTCCTTCTCTGATGGGAAGTCATGGGAAAAGGAGGCAGTCCAGATCTGGGCGGGGCCAAGCGGTTATTCGTGTATAACATCACTCAAGGGAGATTCTCCTGAGGACAGCAAATTCATCTACGTCATTTACGAAAAGGGCCATAAAGATTACTGTGAGACCATCTCTTTTGCCAAAATCCATCTGTATGGAGGGAAATAACATGCAGGTGGAGGAGCCAAGAAAAGGGATATTTAGGACTTTTAAAATGAACTTTTTTTGTTGTTGTTGAGAAAATCAAGGTATCAGCCTGATGAAAAATCATTTTCGTTACATTAAATCTGGTCTATACTATGAATGGTTTTTATATGAATTTCACTCCGGAAAAATATTGAGGCATCCTGCTTCAGTGCGAGATTGATTTATACAGCAATATATTATAAAACAGCTATGATTGTACCCACTGTTTTTTA